AGTTCCTTTAAGTCTTCCTACCAATATGACCAAGTTGCGAAAACAAGGTCAAACTACATTATATAATTTGCCAGCCATTGATTGAAGCTTCATGAAATCCTCAGAGTTAAGCATATCAGACAAAACTTGTATTAGTCTTTTTTTTCTGATCAAATTATGTAATATAGTAATGTTTTGAAGGAGTATTTCTTTAACCAAAACATGAGATACTTTTATAATGTCCCTTTTAGATGGATTTGGCAAATTAGGTCTATCTAGAATACAAAACTTAGGAATAATACTAAGCAAAGAACATACTTTCAAAAATCTAATATGATTAACTTGCCTTGTCATTATTTTCCTGGATTTTGTGTAAACTGATGAGTTTTTAAAAGTTTAGTCTTCATACGTACTTGTGAGATATGAAGAGAAGCTGGCTTTCGAAGAATCCCTTAATAGATTGATACTTGCGTTCGGGAAGGCGGGTCGAAGGGATTCGTTGTTTGGCCTTACCTGGTACCGTAGAAGGGTTGCCTTGGACTTTTGACTTTTGAACTGTGTGAAGAAAACCTCGACTCACCGCGGTATCCAGTGGGGCCATCTACGACTCCCTTCGACCCACATTCTTAAAAGAAATGAAAGGTAAGCTAGTATCAATTTTTTAAGTGATTCTTCGAAACCCAGCTTCTCTTCACATATTCAGAACTTTGTTGGCCCAGGTAACTTAAGGTGATCTAAGGACTGATAGTTGGGTTTTCCGATAATGAGATAAGTAGGCTTCAAGGCGCCAGTGCATTTCTCTTAGCCTTGCCTCTAATAAAACATCCTTATCTAGGTTGAACTGCGGCTCCGACCTCGCCTGTGTCTCAAGATAGACATCAATGGGATTTGATACCAAGTTTTGAGTATCGGAGCAATGTTACCACCACCCTACACATCCATGGAGGCCATTGAGGATTACTGAGCCGTAATGGGCAGGTCAAACCTCTCACAAATCACATTTATAATGGGATTGTCAATTAAGCAAACATGTATTCGCCATTCCTATTGAAATGCTATTTATTTTCTATATAAGTAGATGCTATGAAGAAAAGCTGGATTTCGAAGAATCCCTGAATACATTGATTTCAGCATACTCCTAAATTGGCTTGAGGGGGTGTATGTAGGGAATTATTAATAAGTTGGCCCCTTCGGAAACTTAAGGACGGTTGACCTAGAGCAATGGGGGTAGATTTGGGCAAATATGTCCGAGGTTCATCTGGATCGCGAGGCGGTGAGTTGAGGACTTATTCGCACAAATCTACAGGCACAGCTCCGAGGAAATCCCCTTCAGCTTTGGGTGAGGCCAAATTACCGATTCCTTTCATTCGATCCTTTGAACAAAATAAAAAGCTGCCAGCCTAATTAGTTGCTAATGCGACCTAGGCGAGATCGAAACTGCAGTCAATTCCGGCCGGGACGAGATAGCCTTTTTGGAAGCAAGGCAAAGTGAAATTTAATGACATCCTGAAATCAAATCGTCTTATTGTGATGAAACTAATCTAACCGTTCTATAATCACCTAAAGCAGTCTAGTGTAACTAAATTCTTATTCAATAATTACTGATTGTCTCTAAACCTTCGTATACAGAAAACAATTGTACTTTCTCCTCACTTCATCGTATCTTCAATTTGTGCCCTAAAACACTAATCACTCAATTCTGGCAACTCGCCCTGGGGCTAGACTGATTGCTAGCATTGCTGCTACCAAGCTATACCGGCAAATATTGCCCCGCTGCAGACAGTATGTTGGACAATGCAAGGGACTTACGTGTCTGCGCTAGTGATCATTCATTTCTTACTAATACGGGTGTCGTTTTTTATTAATACTTTCCATTCCGCTTCTTCTAGCAAAAAAACGTGAATTTCTGACAAAAGGGGGCCATATGCATAACAATACATTATGCGAAGAAAAGTTGGGTTTGAAGTAATCTCTTGCTTCATAATTGTTGAGCTTATTTCCATTTAAAGTGAAAGTGTTTAGTGAAGAAATTCGAAGGTCGATTCCACCAGAAGACGATGGCGGATTCCTCTTGACCAGCTGTCTATTGGCTTTACTGGAACATTGATGGAGACGCTGTTTCCAAGGTAATCTCCTTCGATTCCGGTGAAAACGTGTTAAGCTTTCGTCTTGCATATGACGAATATCATCAGAGCAAGGTATCATCCTCACTACCAAATTCAAGCTAATGAGTCAAGAAAACCCATTGGCACATCCCTAAAAAGCTGTCTGTATACTCTGTCTGACCTCTTTGATGAAGTATAATGTGATTTGGTTAGTTCCAGTCATATGTCAACCTAGAAGCATGCGAGTGTGTCTGTCTCTGTATGTGTGTGTGCCTATGCAAGAAACCAGCACTGATGGCTCCCACCCACTTTTCTGAGTAAATTAAACTCGTTTTTCCATATAAGAATAGTCCAAACCATAATCTTCTGTAGCCCATTGAGTAGTCTTTAGAGTTTACCAGGACAACGCTTCAACTCACCGAGTATTGATCTACTATCAGCACTTATAGCGACACATGGGCAATTACATTAATTGCATTAATTTTTTATTGTAAAAAACAAGTTACTGAAGAGAGAACGATAATAGACATCAAGAAATTGTGCTATGATTTTCTTACCTGAATCAACTACAGTTATGCCGGCCATATTGTTGTCATAGTCATAGCCAACATTGCGAGAATCTGAGAAAAATTCAATGTTATCCATAACTGGGAAGAAAGGTACCAGCGCAGCGAAGGCATTGTGACCTGGTGGGCAGCCTCGTCTTGGATACTTTAAGGAAGAGATTTGATAGCAAATGGAGAGAATAAAAAGCCTTAATGAGGAATATGAAATAACATGACATTAATTACTAGTAAAAAGTAACAAATTCCCATTTTTGG